ATTAATGAAATTGTCCTAGTCACTTTAATTTCTACTATAACAGAATACCATAGACTGGATGATTTAAACAATGAACATTTATTTCTTAAAGGTCTTGAGGCTAAGAAGTCTGACATCAGGCAATAACATATCTAATGTCTAGTGGGGGGCAACTCTGTTGGTTTGTAGACACCCATCTTTTTATTGAATTTTCAATGGCTGAGAGAAAAGTTGTCTTCCTCTTTTTCAAGGAGCACTTATTCTATTTATAAAGGCTCTACTATCATGATTTAATTATATTTTGAGTTCCACCTCAAATACAATCACAAAATAAGAGCTATTTATGACAAACCCACAGTCAATATCATTACTGAATGGGCAAAAACTGGAAAATTCCTTTAAACTGGAACAACACAGGGATGCCCTCTCTCACACTCTATTCAACATGAGTATTTGAAGTTCTGGCTAGGGCAATCAGGCAGAGAAAGAATCAAGGATTCAGTTGAGAAAAGGAAAGAGTCAAATTGTCCTGTTTGCAGATGACATGATTGTATATTTAGAAAACCCCATTGTCTCCAGCCCAAAATCTCCTTAAGCTGATAAACAACCCTTAAAGTCTCGGGATACAAAATCAGTAGCCCAAACATCACAAGCATTCTTATACAGCAACAGACAAACAGAGAGCCAAATCTTGAATGAACTGCATTCCCAATTGCTTCAAGAGAATGAAATGCCTAGGAATCCAACTTACAGGGATGTAAAGGACCTCTTCAAGGAGAACTACAAACCACTGCTCAGTGAAATAAAGGACACAAACAAATGGAAGAACATACCATGCTCATGGATAGGAAGAATCAATATCATGAAAATGGTCACACTGCCCAAGGTAATTTATAGATTCAATGCCATCCCCATCAAGCTACCAATGAGTTTCTTCACAGGGTGGAAAAAACTGCTTTAAAGTTCTGGAACCAAAAAAGAGCCACATTGCCAAGACAATCCCTGAAGTCAAAGAACAAAGCTGGAGGCATCACGCATACCTGACTTCAAACTGTACTACCGAGGTTACAGTAACCACAACAGCATGGTACTGGTACCAAAACAGAGATATAGACCATGGAACAGAACAGAGTCCTCCAGAAATAATACCACACATCTACAGCCATCTGATCTTTGACAAACCTGATAAAAACAAAGAAATGGGGAAAGGATTCCTATTTAGCCAAATGGTGCTGGGAAAATTGGCCACAGCCATGACACAAGCTGAAACTGGATCCTTTCCTTACTCCTTACGAAAATTAACTCCAAGATGGATTAGGGCTTAAATGTATCAGACCTAATGCCATAAAAACCTAGAAAACCTGAGTAATACCATTCAGGACATAGGCATGGGCAAGGACTTCATGTCTAAAACACTAAAAGCAACGGCAACAAAAGCCAAAATTGACAAATGGGATCTAATTAAACTAAAGAGCTTCTGCACAGCAAAGAAACTGCCTTGAGTGAACAGGCAACCTACAGAATGGGAGAAAATTTTTGCAATCTACTCATCTGACAAGGGCTAATATCCAGAACCTACAAAGAACTCAAACAAATTTACAAGAAAAAAAAAACAACCCCATCAAAAAGTGGGTAAAGGATATGAACAGACATTTCTCAAAGGAACATTCATACAGCCAACAGACACATGAAAAAATGCTCATCATCACTGGCCATCAGAGAAATGCAAATAAAACCACAATGAGATACCATCTCACACCAGTTAGAATGGCAATTATTAAAAGTCAGGAAACAACAGGTGCTGGAGAGCATGTGGAGAAATAGGAACACTTTACACTGTTGCTGGGATTGGCAAACTAGTTCAGCCATTATGGGGAAAACAGTATGGCGTTCCTCAAGGATATTCCTCAAGGATCTAGAACTAGTAGTACCATATGACCCAGCCATCCCATTACTGGGTATATACCCAAAGGATTATAAATCATGCTGCTATAAAGACACATGCACACGTATGTTTATTGCGGCACTATTCACAATAGCAAAGACTTGGAATCAACCCAAATGTCCATCAGTGACAGACTGGATTAAGAAAATGTGGCACATATACACCATGGAATACTATGCAGCCATAAAAAAGGATGAGTTTGTGTCCTTTGTAGGGACATGGATGCAGCTGGAAACCATCATTCTCAGCAAACTATTGTAAGAACAGAAAACCAAACACCGCATGTTCTCACTCATAGGTGGGAACTGAACAATGAGATCACTTGGACTCGGAAAGGGGAACATCATACAACAGGGCCTATTATGGGGAGGGGGGAGGGGGGAGAGATTGCATTGGGAGTGATACCTGATGTAAATGACGAGTTGGTGGGTGCAGCACACCAACATGGCACAAGTATACATATGTAACAAACCTGCACGTTATGCACATGTACCCTAGAACTTAAAGTATAATAATAATACTAATAATAAAACACATTAAAAACACCAGAGTTAGATTTTAAAAACTATGAAAATGTTAAAAGTACAAAATTTCTCACCTTCTTGAGAACAGTGTGGATATCATCCATCACTGTAGATAAGTTTCTGATTGTCTTATTCAGTTAGTTTTCAAATTATAAATTCATGTCTTCCGAAATCTTTAAGTTTTCTTGTAATGGACGAAGGTCCTTTTCAACTTCTCTGAGTTCAGCAGAGAGGCTTTTGTTGGAATTCTCCAAATTTAATATGGTTTTTTCATCTTCATCTGCTTAAAAAAATCCAAAAATTAACATTTTACTCTAAAATTTTACTCTAAAATTTCCAATTTAATTTTGATGTTAAAATATTTAAGCTGTGAGAATAAAAGGCTGATAGAATTCCGTAAAATAAAATAAAATAAAATCGTTAAGATGGTAATTTTATGTAATTTTTACCAAAATTAAAATTATTTTAATAGTGTTAAGTATTGATTATGTCTTCTACAGTTAATGTAGTTTGCATATGTAAATTTAATTATAAAAATTACTCTTCAAATTATTTACTGACTTCAGCATTCCCATTTAGTAGATGACAGAAGTGAAATAGAGAAAATGTTTGTAATTTGCTAAATATTTCACTGAAAATGAGGAAGTTGTTTTTCATACACTGGCAATCTGATTGCAAAGAATGTGCTTTTAGCAATTAAATAATGCTTCCTGAATGATTTTACAAATGACAAAGTAGATATGCAATATGATTTTGCACCATTTGTAGATAATTTTTCTTAGGAAACCTCTCTATTATTGGAATTTTCTCATATGGTTTTGGTTATACTCTTGTGATATCTTTTGGATTTTATTAGTACAACTGACAATCTCATTCTCTTGTTTCTGTTTGTCCAATTGTTTTTCAGTGTTATTTTCCCAAATATTACACATTTTATTATTTACTAAAACTCTATTTGAAAACATTAAAATGAACCACAAAATGATTTTTATGGTTACTTATTTTGAAAAATACTGCACAAGCTTTCTTCTTATATATCTATATTGTATACTAGCATTTAATGAACTCTAAAAAATCTAGTCATGTGCCCCTTAACAACATTTCAGCAAATGATAAACCACATATACTATGGTGGTTCCATAAGTTTATAATAATATATTTTTATTGTGCCTTTTCTATATATAGATACACAATACTTAGCAATGTGTTACAATTGCCTTCAGTATTCAGTATGGTCACATGCTGTATAGATTTGTAGCCTAGGAGCAATAGGGAGTATCATATAGCCTCGGTATTTAGTAGACTATACCGTCTAGGTTTGTGTAAGTACACTCCATGATGTTTACACAATGATGAAATCACCTAAGGACACACTTCTCAGAATGCAGCCCATCATTAAACAACACAGGACTATATTACAATAAAAACATCTCCAGTTTTATAACTCCTTCATTTCCAAATGAAAGAAAGCCAGCTGAAAACTCACTGTGAAATAGTAAATATGTATTTGGTCTTTTTTTTTTTTTCTGATTTCTGACAGATAATTCTACAATTCCATGGAATTTCATGAATGATAGGAGCATCGCGTTATCTAATACGATGACTTTTGCTTAGCTCTAAGATAGCTTCAAGATGGAGATTTGTTGCCAGAAAGACTATAATTTTAGTAGAATCCCGGCACTTTCAGCCCTATCCATCTCTCAACCTCTGAAAAGGGGAGAGGAACTGGAGATTGAGTTAATAATCAATCATATCTACAAAGTGAATTCTCCATGAGAGAGTGAAATAAAAAAACACCTAACCTATAAGAACCCAGAAGTTTTGGGTTGGTGAACACACTGGAGTGCTGGGAGGGTGGCATGGAAACTATATATTTCCGCCACCATAACTTGCCCTATGCATTTTTTCTATTTGGAGTGTTAATAATTAATCAGTAAACATAAGGAAAGCATATATTTTTTGGTTCTGTGAATCATTCAAGGAAATTATCAAACCCAAGGAGAAGGTCCTGGTAATCTCTAATTTATAGTCAGTCAATTACATGTACAGGTGGCTCAAGACTTTCAAGTGATATGGAAAGTGGTGGCAGTCTTGTGGGAAATGTGGGGTCTATCACTAACTCCAAAAGTTTAATTGAATTTTTGGACACTCGGTGCCTAGTGAATCAGATAACTGGTTACTTGTGGTAGAAAACACTACACTCACATAATTGAAAATCCTAGAAGCACAGTTTATTTAGGCAAAGCTTGACTTGGGTTACCGTGGTGTCAAAAAGGATTCAGTTTCTCACCATCTCTCTATCCTGTTATATGCAGTCAATTGTTTCGCCATCTTCAACCTACCTTTTCCCCAAACATGACTTCATACGTAGCTCTGAACTCTTCCCTTAGGTATACAAAAGGCTGCAGCAAATCTATAATTCATATTTTCATACCACCTTATCCAGGAAGGATGACAGTAGGACTTTCTAGTACCTGTAGAAAGAAAGGAAGCTTGTCTTTTCAGGAATCCCCAGAAGAGTTATTGTTTTTTTTTTTTTTTTTTTTTTTTAGTGAATCTTACTGTGTTAAGGGTCTTCTCTGAAGCAAGCATTGTGGCCAAAAGAGTGCAATAGACTAATCAGCTTACTACAAGGCTGAAAATGGGAAGAAAGTCCTTTCCTTAAAGCAAAATCTGGTGTCTGTTACCATGAAGGTGAGAATGCATGCTGATCAGCAGAAAGAATGAATAACTCACTAAATTTAATATTCTAAAATTTACTTGAATATTAACCATTTTCAAAATACTAGTTTAATATTAAGTAAAAAAGTTAAGAGATACTTCATGTAACCATTTCAAGGGCAGAAGGTCACTTAAATTTCAATTAGTGCAGAGTATTACACATGATAACGCTTTACAGAATAGTATAGTTGTACCCTACCTATTTGATATTACACAAAATACACCAGAGCCTTTCCTGCTCTCTCCGTTATCCATTCAGTCTTAATGTATTATCTAATTGTATTTCTTGTACAAATCAACTATATTAATATTCTTTAACAGTTTTGTTCTATGTGGACGTTAAAGGCTTTGTTTTATTTTGTGCTTTATTTCGTCCTTTTGTGGTGGTGGAGCATGATGATTTTTTATTTTCTTTAATTTATAAATGATAAAATACAAAATGCCCGTGATAAAAACAAAAGTGCAGAGAAAGCTAATAATCTTGCTTACTTAAAATTGAAACTGAGAAAACAAATTTATATTCTGACATATTTATATTTGGATATAAAGCCTTCCATAAAATTCTAACATTTTATAAAGCATGTACAAACATAGCCACATATATAAGGCAATTGCTGATGTGTTGTGTACAGACTACATTGCTCTAGAACAGAGCTCAGCACAGTTTTTCTATAAAAGTCCAGATAAAAAGGATTTTAAGCTTTTTAGGCCATACAGTTTCTGTTACTATAACTGAACTCTGTTATTATAGTCTGAAGGCAGACACAAGCAATAGGCAAAGAATAGGTAAGTGTGAAAGCAGCTATAAGTAACAGGTAAAGAATGAGTGTGGTTGTACTCTGATACAATTTTATATACAAAAGCATTTGGAGAATTGAATTTGGCCCACAAACTGTGATTGCCATCTCCTGATTTAGAAACATTACTAACATTTAATTATGTACTTTGAAAATCCCTGCAGGTCAACAGTTAATAAAATATTTTATATAATTAGATATCAGGGTATGACCTGGTAGCTTTGTACTGTGTCAATTTAGCTAAAATGGAGCTATGTTTCCTAGAATTTCCTTCCCTTGTATTTTATTGTTTGCCACAGGAGAGTTTTGCATTAGATTTAGAAAGGAGAAGTTAAGTAGCAACCATTTTGACACTGTAAAAGTATTCCTACGTATTCTAGTTTTAGTGTAGCTGTTGTAAATGTATTGCCTTTTTATTTCATTATTGCTGTATATTTAATTGGTACATAGAGACACTACTGATTTTTGTATATTAATTTTCTATCCTGAAATTTTACTAAATTTATCAGTTCTAAGAGATTTTTGGTGGTCTTATATTTTTTTCTTATCTGCAAAAAAGGACATTGAGTTCCTCATTTTTAATTTACATGATATATATATATGGCAAGATATATATATACACACACATATATCTTGAGCAATCAGACAAGATATATATATAGCTATCTTGATCAATCAGGCAAGTTATATATATAATATATAATATAAGATATGTATCTTGCCTGATTGCTCTGGCTAGGACTTCCAGTACTATGTTAAATAGGAGAAAGCCTTTCAACTTTTCCCCATTAAGTATGTTGGCTGTGTGATTGTCATATATAACCTACATTATTTTATGTTCCTTCTATGCCTAGTTTGTTGAGAGCTTTTATCATGAAGGATGTTAAATGTTATCAAATGCTTTTTCTGTGTCTGTTGAGATGATCATATGGTGTTAGTCTTCCATTCAGATGGTGTGATTTATTATGTTTACTGATTTACTTGTATTGGAAAATCCTTGCATCCTTGATGTAAATCCCACTTGGTCATGGTATATCATCTTTTTTATATGATGTTGGATTCTATTTGTTTGTATTTTGCTGAAGTTACTTTTATCCATGTTCGTCAGGGATATGACCTGTAATTTTTTTTTGTTTTGGCTTGTCCTTATCTGGTTTTGGTATCAGGGTAATGCCAGCTTTATACAATGAATTAAGAGAATTCCCTCCTCTTTAATTTTTTGCAGATATTTTTAAGAGAATTAATATTAGTTCTTCTTTATATATTTTGTAGAATTTGTCAGTGAATCTATCCAGTCCTGAGCTTTTCTTTTTTGGGAGACTTTTATTATTGATACAATTTCACTACTTATTAGTCTGTGCAGGTTTTCTATTTTTTTGTGATTTAATCTTCAGATGTTGCATATTTCCACACATTTATCCATTTCTTCTAGGTTTTCCAGTTTGTTTGCATAAAGTTGTTCTTAATAGTCTCTGACAATATTTTGGATATCTGTGGCGTAAGTTGTAATGTCATCTTTTTATTTTTAATTTGGTTTATCTGAGTATTCTCTTTGCTTTTGTTAGTCTAGGTAGAGGTTGATCAATTTTGTTCATTTTTTCAAAGAATCAACTATTCATTTCATTGACCTTTTGCACCAATTTTTAGTCTTTATTTTGTTCTGCCTTTATCTTTATTATTTATTTTTTTCTGCTAATTTCCTGGGGTTTTTTTTCTTGCTTTCTAATATCTTGTGGTACATTATTAGATTGCTTGTTTGAAATTTTTAAAACTTTTTTGGTGTAGGCATTTAGTGCAATCAACTTTCCTCTGTGCACTGCTTTTGTTGTATCCCACAGGTTTTGGTATGTGTGCTTCCGTTTTCATTTAATAATTGCTTAATAATAATTGTTTAAATTTTATCTTAATTTCTTATTGTACCAATGATGATTCTGGAGCATTTTATTATTATTATTATACTTTAAGTTCTAGGGTACACATGCACAACATGCAGTTTTGTTACACATGTATCCATGAGCCATGTTGGTGTGCTGCACCCATTAACTCATCATTTACATTAGGTATATCTCCTAATGCTATCCCTCCCCTTTCCCCCGACCCCATGACTGGCCCCAGTGTATGATGTTCCCCTTCCTGTGTCCAGGCGTTCTCATTGTTCAATTCCCACCTATGAGTGAGAACATGCGGTGTTTGGTTTTCTGTCTTTGAGGTAGTTTGCTGAGAATGATGGTTTCCAGTTTCATCCATGTCCCTACAAAGGACATGAACTCATCCTTTTTTATGGCTGAATAGTATTCCATGGTGTATATGTGCCACATTTTCTTAATCCAGTCTATCATTATTTGCTTTGCATGTATTTCTGTAGTGTCCAAATTTTCTCCTGTTAATGATTTTCAATTTTATTATATTAAGGTTGAGAAGATACATTATATAATTTCAATTTTTAAGAATGTTTTGAAGATTCTCTGGTGGCCTAAAATATGTTATATTCTAAATAATGAAACTTTATTTAGAAATAGAATAGAACACAACATGAAGTCTTTGCCCATGCCTATGTCCTGAATGGTACTGCCTAGATTTTCTTCTAGGATTTTTATAGTTTTGGGTTTTACATTTAAGTCTTCAATCTATCTTGAGTTAATTTTTGTATAAGGTGTAAGGAAGGGGTCCAGTTTCAATTTTCTGCATGTGGCTAACCAGTTGTTCAAGCATCTTTTATTAAATAGGAAATTCTTTCCTCATTGCTTGTTTTTGTCAGGTTTGTCAAAGATCAGATGGTTGCAGACATGTGGTCTGCAAAGATTTCATGAAAAAATCGCCAAAAGCAATTGCGACAAAAGCAAAAACTGACAAATGGGATCTAATTAAATTAAAAGACTTCTGAACAGCAAAATAAACTGTCATCATAGTGAACAGACAACCTACGGGGTGGGTGCCAGATCTATACATCTGACAAAGGTCTGATATCCAGAATCTACAAGGAACTTAATCAAATTACCAGAAAAAATAAAAAAAAAAAAAAACATTAAAAGTAGGCAAAGGACTTGAACAGACACTTCTCAAAATAAAACATTTATGTAGCCAACAAACATATGAAAAAAAACTCAATATCACTGCTTATCGGAGAAATGCAAATCAAAACCACAATGAAATACCCTGTCACTCCCGTCAGAATGGCAATTATTAAAAAGTTAAGAAACAATAGATGCTGGCAAGGTTGCAGAGAAATAGGAACACTTTTACACTGCTGTTGGGAATGTAAATAGTTCAACCATTGTAGAAGACACTGTGGTGATTCCTCAAAGACCTAGAGCCAGAAATACCATTTGACTCAGTAAAACCATTACTGGGTATATACCCAAAGGAATATAAATCACTATATTATAAAGATACATACACGCATATGTTCATTGCAGCACTGTTCACAATAGCAAAGATGTGGAATCAATCCAAATGCCCACCAATGATAGACTGGATAAAGAAATTGTGGCACATATACATGGAATACTATGCAGCCATAAAAAGGAATGAGATAATGTCCTTTGTAGGGACATGGATGGAGCTGGAAGATTATCCTCAGCAAACTAACACAGAAACAGAAAACCAAACATTGCATGTTCTCACTTATAAGTGAGAGCTGAACAATGAGAACACATGGATACAGGGAGGGGAACAACTCACACAGGGTCCTGTTTGGGGCAAGCAGGGGGAGGGAGAGCATTGGTAAAAATAGCTAACACATGCTGGGCTTAATACCTATGTGATGGGTTGATAGGTGCAGCAAACATATTTAACTATGTAGCAAACCTGCACATCCTGCATATATACCCCAAAACTCAAATTTAAAAAACAAAAAAACAGAATCAAATATTTGCCTAGACCAATGTCCAGAGGAGTTTTCCCTACAGAATGTTTTATGTTCTGATAAGAATGGGTATTCTGCAATTACTGAATAGCGCATTCTGTAAAAGTCTGTTCGGACCATGTGGTCCAAAGTCCAGTTTAAATTCAAAGTTTATTTATTGATTTTCTGTCTAAATGATACATATAATGCTGATAGTGGAGGGTTGATTTTCCCCACTCTTATTGCATTGCAGTTTATCTTTCTGTTTAGTACTAGTAATATTTGATTTATAAATCTTGGTGTCCCAGTGTTAGAATTGTTTTATC